GATGATGATGATGATGTATGATGATGATGATGATGATTGATGATGTTGATGATTGATGATGTGATGATGATGATGATTGATGATGATGATGATGATGATGTGATGATGATGATGGATGATTGATGATGATGATGTGATGATGATGATGATGATGATGATGATGATGATGGATGATGATGATGATGATGATGATGATGATGATGTTGATGATGATTGTGGATGATGATGATGATGATGATGATGATGGATGATGATGATGATGATGTTGAGGGGGGGTGGGGTTGAATGATGATGATGATGATGATGATGATGATGTATTTGTGATGATTGTGATGATGATGATGATTATGATGATGAATGATGATTGATGATGATGATGATGATATGATGATGATGATGATTGATGATGATGATGATGATTGATGATGTGTGAGATGATGTTGATGATGATGATGATGATGATGATGATGATGATGATGATGATGATGAGATGATGATGATGATGATGAAGATGATGTGTTGATTGATTGATGATTTTGATGATTGGATTGATGATGATGATGATGCTGATGATGATGATGATGATGTGATGATGCATGATGATGTTTGATTGGTGATGTTGATTGTTGATGATTGATGATGATGATGTATGATCATGATGGATGATGATGATGTATGAGATGATGATGGATGAGTGATTGATGGATGATTTGGAGGAGGAGGAGGAGGAGGAGGAGGAGGAGGAGGGAGGACGGTGAAGGAGGGGGAGCGGGGAGGGGAGGAGGAGAGAGGAGGAGAGGAGAGGAGAGAGGAGGAGGGGAGGAGGAGGGAGGAGGAGGTGGAGGAGGAGGAGGAGGAGGAGGAAGGTGGAGGAGCAGGCGGCTGTGGACCTGTGCTGGCCTGAATGGCACTGTGCCGTTTAGATTGTGCCTGTGCCTGTGCCTGTGCCTGCGCTCGCGTGGGCCTGCGAGCGGGCAGAGTCGTGAAGGGCTCCTGGTGTCACCGAGGGGACGGCGGCTTCTCCGAAACATTTGTTTTGGAGCATCCCCCAGGCATGTTTGCTCCACAAGTGCTTGTGTACTCCAGATTTCGTAATAAATGTAAGGGGTCTCAACCCTCCCAGACGAGAAGTTTTAGACCCCCCCCCCTGGGAGAACCCTCCAAAACATCGTCCCCAGACCCCCCCAGGCCCTCCAAGATAGCTTGGAAGAGACCCCCCCCGCGAAATGAGACCCCCCTCCCTTTTATTACGAAATCTGGAGTAATCAACGAGAGAGTATGTCTTGACAGTCTTTCGTATTTCGAACACCGCCTGCAGGAGGGCGTGCCCGACATCACCGGTGTGGGGAGACGAGCGAGCCGAGAGAGCGTGCGGACAGGCGAGCGGTACGCACCCAGCATGGGCAGGAGCCGCAGTCGAATGGGGCCCATGGACAATGACAGGTGGCCGAGCGGCACACCATCTGCTCTCAGCACCGCAGGTGTGTCCATCTGGCACTACCGCGTGCGTGCGCAACGGCGCGCCGATGCCAGTTTTACCCCGCCTCTCCTCCCCTCGATTCTTTCACCCCTCGCAGCTCTTCTCTGGGCCCTCCCTGGCCTTCTCCTTTGCATCCACGTCGGGCGCTGGAGCCTCGCATGAGGGCCAACGGCTTGGCCCGCGCAAGAGAGTGACTGATCGGGGACCGGCTCTCGGCGACACCCGTATGCCAATCGACACTCCGAGCAGGCTGGACATCATCACGGCCGTCTTCCATGCGGCCTCCGCCGGCCAAATTCTACGTGCCGCTGGACAAGGGGCATCTTCTGCTTCACAGTCGCGTTGCGCTCAGCTGCCTGCTTCGCAATCGCGGGGTGCTCCGCGTGCTCGCTCTCTGTTGCGGATTTCCGGAAGAGTCGCCAGCCGCGCGCTCCTCCGCCCACGCGCCCCGCAGGATGCACGGCCCAGTGGGGGCTGGACAGGGAGCCGAGACGCGAGACCTGGGCCCTCCGCTGGGTCTGCCGCCCCGAGCCGAGCTCTGTCCAGCTCCTCCCCCGGGCCGCGCAGGGCTGCCCAGTGCCGTGTGCCCCGTGTGGACCGCGCGGCGAGCTGTGGAGGTCTCGCTGGCGCCGAGACGTGGAAGAGTCGTTGGCTACGCCACGCGCGCATGGCCCCCGCCGGGGCGCTGGCAGGCTCCCCGCCTGCGCGGGGAGGCCCCGCGGGAGGGGGTGGGGGTGGGGGATGGGGGTGGCGCCGTGCCGCCTTCAGGGGTCCGCGTGAGCGCACCTCCAGCCGGCTGGCCTCCCGAGAGTCTTCCTGTCAGACGCCTCCGTCCTCACCATTCAGCCTGCCGCTTCGCCAGCGACATGCTACTGGTTGGCCAATCCTTCAAACCCGAATTGTGGACAAATTTTGACAGACCTGGTAGCGTGAGCTAGCCTCCATGGCCTCGAGGTCGTATTTCCGACCAGACACCCAAAAGCATGACCAACCGAGGTCAGGCCCGTTGGTGCACGGCCAAGGTTGCAAGTACAGTCGAGTTTGATTCGTAGGTCAACCCTTCCAAATCACGGGTGCTCTTGTGTCCTTTGTTTCGCGACCCATGTCCTCTACATTCCTGTGGCAACGTGGCCCTTGGAAAGGGTATTGTGTCTTGTCGCGTGTCCTCTCCATTTAAGATCGGCTGTAGATGCGGGCGTTGACATAGTGAAGCGCATGCTGGCAAGATGACGTGCCTCGGCCACGTTGCCCGTTTTGGCTGCGAGGTGATTTTCGCAACCCTGGCGCAACCTCGCCCACGGCCTATTTCAGCTCTGACCAGGGGCAGTGGGTCAAACACCCAATGCTTTTTTTTTAGTTCTAGTTTCTGGGATCCTTCCAAGGTCCCTCGGATCTGACCCTTGCGGTGGCCCCAGCCCGCGCGTCGCGCAGGCCTCGCGTTCGCAATGCCACGGTTTCTGGTCGCGGAAAATGTCGCGCCAAAGCCGCTTAGCGGCATCCTGGCCATCCCACAGGCCCGCGCCCCATGCCCCTCGGAGGCCGCTCGCCAGGTGCGGTCTACTGCCTGCAGAGTGCCCCCCTCGCAAACATCCGAACAAAAGTGCGCCTTCCTCCTTGTGTAATGTACAGTGCCGTTTTTAATGCATGCTCCGCGTGCGGATCATGTGTAAAAAACGCAGGGATTGAGTATTAAAAACAACGATGCGTGCATGCACAAATCATACATTAGTCACTTATTAAATTACGATAGTTTTTTGAAGCCTGTGTCTTTAAAACAACTGCTCTGTATCGTAGATCCCCCGCGGCGGATCCAGGCCATCTGCGAGCACTGCCTCTGCGAGTAGCGGGCCGCGCTTGCTCCGCGGGCGCGGGGCCCCGCGGAGCGACCCCCCCCCCCACGCGAACGCGAGGCCCAAGGCCCCCCCCCTCGCGGGGCTGCGCCGCGGCCCCCCCCCCCCCCCCCCCCCCCGCGCACCGCACGGCGCTTAGGTCGGCGCGCGCCGCGGCGCGCGCCGCGGCCCGCCCCGGGTCGCCGCGCACTCGCCCGGGCCGCCAGGGCTCGTTTCGCATTCCCCGTTTCGATCCGCTTCGACCTCGACGGCTCCCGATGCCGATGCCGATGCGACTCGGCTTCGGGCTCCGATCTGGGGCTCCGGTGTCTGAGTGGTGGCCTGCTGGCCTGCCGATGTCCGCGGACTCGACGTCTTCCGGCTCGGCAGGCGATCTCCGCCGATCCGACGCATCCCGACTGCCGGTCCGACGTATGGCTTCGGCTCCGGGCTCGCCTGCCCAGGCTGCGGTCGCCTCCGCGACGCCTGCCGCGTATTCGGGCAGCCGTGGCGGCCGCGACGAGCAGGCAGGCCGACGTCGTGGCTGCTCTCGCGGGGCCGCGCCCGGCAGCGGGGTCAAGCCAGCCATCCAGCCACCAGTGCCTCGGCGTGTCTCCCCCCCGGAGTTTTGGCCACAGCCACCCCTCCAGCGAGGAGCACCTCGCGGCGGGTTCCGCCCGGGCTCGGGGGGCGCGCCGCCACGGCGCCGTCCCGCCCTCGGCCACCTGCCAGAGGGCTCCCCAGCGGTCTTGCCCTGCCTGGCGCTCGGGGCCCACATAGGGGAACGAAGCATGACATAAACATGCAAACTCGGAGGCCCGCGCGGATTTCTCGGATCGGCGCTGGGGCCCCCTGGCGGCGCCTCCGGCGCCGCCCCTGGCGCGCTCCGCGCGCCAGGGAGGGGGGTCCAGCGCCGATCCGAGAAATCCGCGCGGACGTCCGAGTTTTTATGTTTACGTCATTCTTCGTCCCCCTACCATGACCGCCAGGCTGTCGTGCGCCTTCTCTCGTGCGCCGAGGGCCTCTTCGGCTTCTCTCGCCCACCGTCGCCGTGCTCCAGCCCCGAGCGCTGGGCGCGCGGGCCGCCTGCCTCCCGGCGCCCAGACCCGCGCGGTCCGCATCTGCATCTGTTTCTCTCCGTTTTTTTTTTTTTTTTTTTTTTTTTGTCTCTCTCTCTCTCTGTGTCTCTCTCTCTCTCTCTTCCTCCTTGCCTGCCTGCTTGCTTGCCTGCTTGCTCTATTATTCACTCTCTCTTTCACACTCTCTCGTTGTTTGATTTATGTTCGTTAGCTTGAGTGATAATTCACGGGAAGGTAAAGAGAGAGAGAGAGAGAGAGAGAAAGCGACGTGGTTCACGTTCAGATTGTCTATCTGGCCCGTAGTCCGTCTTTTTTGTTCAAATTTGTTTCTCGCGCGTGTATGTCCTTCCCGCGATACGCCCATGAATTGGTCGGGGCGGTATGAGGTTTCTTGGTTGGAAGTGAAAACCAGACGTGGCTGCAGGCCCTTCAGCCCATGTATGTGGACGTGGAGGTCAATCACACTGGTGTTTGCAACTGTACATGTGGTCGGGTGCTTGAAGGGCTCGGTGCCAACGGATCGGCCAATCATATTTTCATCAAGAATCACCACCAAAACCGTATGCCAGCCGAGTCTTCTTCTTGGATCACCCTGGCCTGTGTGGCCCACAGTTCGTGCTGTACGCTCGTCACCCTGTGTACCTGTATCCGCCATGGCGTTGGCAGGCGTGTCCGCCCTGATGGCGCCACCGCCCGCAGCTGCGCCGCCTCCAGCACCAGCTCCGCCCTTCCAGATGCGCCTGGATGGGTGGCCGCAGCCGACAAGCGAGGGCCTCTGTCCTTGGCGTCGGCTGCTGGCCGACTCCGCGGGGGCGGCGTTCCCGCATGAACGTTTGGTGATTGAGGCGCACCCGGGCGGCGGGTCGGCTTGGATCCTGACCCCAGACGACGATGCGTACGAGGGAAACTACAGGAACGATCCCGAAATTGTGAATGTGACGTTCTTGGACGACGCTGGTCGCCCGCCTGCTCCGCCACGCCAGCCAGTGCACGCCTTTCGCGGCCCACCTTTGCAGGCGGCGATGGCGAACGCGGAGGTGCAGACGCAGCTGCTGGGCAGGGGCCCTGTCGCTCAGGGACCGCCTCCACCAGCTGGTGGTATCGGCCTTCCGGGTGCTGGCAAGTGGCTCCTCGCGGAGCCGTGTGGGAACTGGAAAATCGGTGATGAGGCTCCTGTCGCTCCTGTTGGACCCTTCCAGTCGACGAAAGCGGTGACCGCGTGCATGCTGGCCTCGGGCACCTCTGTGCCAGTGTTCGTGGAGTGGGTGCCTTCGCAGAAGGTCACCAGCTTCCGTGACGAGAAGATCGATTTGTACGCTTCGGAGGTCAGCACTGCCGCACCATGAAGCCGAGGTTCGAACACGGGGTGCGCAACCGCGGGTTCAGCGACGGGGTGTTGGAGATGTTCGAGGAGCCTGGGCATGACGGCTTCCCAAACGGCCCTAGGATCACGTTCGGCGCGGCCACCGCGCTCCGCTCGCAGGGCCTCGCGTGGCAGATGCAGGCTCGGGAGTGGCCAGTCGCCGTTCGTGTTCCGCCAGGAGATCGTTCGGTGCACGAGTGCGAGCTGTTTGCGAGGTGTTCCACGCGCTGCAGTTCATCGATCAGTGCAATCCCCCGAACCTCGAGGGCGCAGAGCTGTTGGTGAGGCGCGAGAGCGCGCTGGAAGAAGCGCGCGCCCCATCGCCCAGCGACCATGGCTACAGCGTTGCCGACATCCTGATGGGCTGGGCCCAGACTCGAGGCACTGGGAGTACCCCGGACGCTTCGGTGAGCTACGCCGCCAACGGGCGGAAGGACAAGGCCGCGATCTTGAAGGGGAAGAGGAAAGCTATCGAGAATAACATGGACAAGGGCGGCAAGAGTTAGCGGGGTGTGGAGCGCCCCCTCCTCGAGGCATCCGCTCGGGTGCTTCCGCTCGGCCTTGTGCTTGCGTGATGGTCGGGCATCGCTTCGCTCCCCGGGAGCTCTTTCCCCCGCCAGTGCCAGGAGCTTGGTCTACGGCTGTTTGGCCGAGGCGCAGTTGCAGGAGACTGCAGCAGCGCTTCGACCGCAAGAGGGCAGTTTTGAGCTGCGCCATCGATTCTGTCGAGGTGCTTCATTGGTTGCACTGTGGCCGCCAGCCGCCCGCCTTCGCGTCCGATCCTGTCTCAGGCGACGGCGCTTCAACATCTTCTGGACGTTCATCGGATTGGCGCCCCGGAGAATGTCAATGCCGAGGCAGCTCGCGTGGAGTTGCTCGGCGCAGGTCAGGACTATGAGGGTGGTCCTGAGCTTCCTATCTCAAGTTACGACAAGGACCTGCTCTCCCTGCCTCTCCAGGGGGCAGAGCCCGTGGATTTACGGCGGTGCTGGGCGGCAGGCCCAGGGGGCATCTCGCCTACTTTGAAGAGGAGATCTTGCATGGCCCCGATGGGTGGGGCCATATTTCAGAGAATGAGGAGTATATCATGCCGTGCGTGGATCCAGTTCTGCAGGCTGATACCGATTTGTATACCGAGTTTGGGATGAGGGATCGCAGATCTGGGCTATTCCGCTTTGGCCGCTTGTCGCAGGTTATTGTCACGCCCTTCTTCGTGAAGGAGAAGTCTGGGGCTCTGCGATTGATCGTGGACTGTCGCCCCGCAAATCGTGGGATGCGGGGTGGCCCGTCTGTTGGCTGGGAGGGCCGGCGGACGTGGCGCGACTTTTGCGCTCTTGAGGGGGCGGCGACCCGTATGTTGCCCTCGGCGATATCAAGGATTATTATCATTGCTGCGGGCTCCCGCCAGGCTTGAGCTCGTGCTTTTCCCTGCCTGCGGTTTCGGGATTGCGACTTCTCCAGGCTAGCCTTCGCGAGATCGAGGGGGTGCCCGTGTTGCCCGCTGACGAGTTTTTTCCGCAGTCGAAAGTTGCCCCTATGGGGTGGTCCTGGGCGGGCTATTTCGCGCAATCCTGTGGTACTTTCCCTGTCCAGCGTTTCTTTAACTCGTGGGGTGAAAGCCTGCTCGAGTCCCGTGAGCCCCCCGTGGTCTGGGCAAGCCCGCCTACGACGTCAACGTTGATGACGTCAGTGTTTTCGGCCAGGGGAAGTCGCAGACCGATGGGGCAGCTCATCGGGTGTTCGATGGCATCGAGGGCGCCGGCTTCCGCGTGCACGAGCGCGAGGCAGCTGGCAAGTGGGCTGCCACCCCTGGCTTGGAGATCGAATTTCTGCGCGGCGCTGCTCGGGGAAAAAGGTTGAGAAAGGTGGAGCTCAAGTCTGTGTTGGATTGGCCGGGGGCGGCGCCGTTCGTGTCGGGCCAGGAGATCGAGAGACTCTCAGGTCACGCTGCGTTCCCCTTTGGCCCGAACGGGGCCCCCCTGTCGATCTTCAGCGATACGTGTGACTTCATTGTAGCTGGCTACACTTCACGGACGCGTCTGCGGCCCTCGGTCGCGAGGGGATGTTGGGCGGCTGGTTGCCTGATCCCGTGGGCCTTTGCCGACCCAGGGAGGGAGTTCGATGGCGACGCGCCCTGTTCTGGCGCCGGCATGTCTGGGGCGGGGGTGGTGGCATCTTCGCGGGGCACTACCAGGGTTCCATTTGAGTGCGAATGGGGGGGGGGGGGGGCGGTGGAGGTTCAAGTGGGGCGTCCGCGATAGGGTGGCGCCCAGGGGCAACAACTTCCTGTCGCTAAATTGGGGGGATATCGAGTCCGTCGAGCCGTGTCGTGATCGGTCGTGTCCGTGGTCGCTGGACAATGCGTTTCGGGAGGTGCCGAAGGACAACCTTGCGGGGTCTGTCTGGGCCAAAGTCGCCAGGGGCCCCTGGAAGGATGAGGGGCCCGTCTTCTGCCTGGGGGCCCGTGCGGCCCTTCCTGCTGTTCGTCGCAAGTTACGGGCCGTCCCGAGTTTCGGGGGGTCACGTCCCCAGCGGGGGGGCTCTATGACCGCTATGCTGGCCTTCGACAAGGGCCGAGCCAAACGCAAAGCTCTGCTGGGTGCCTGTCGCCGTCTTCTGGCTCTAAGTGCTGCTCCCGACGCGCGACGCCACTTTCGCTGGCTTCCTTCTGAGCTCAATCCGAGTGGCGCCGACTCCAGGTGCATCGAGCTCCTTCGTGATGGAGAGGGCCGTCGGCTCCTTCGTCGCAGCGCGGCTCGCGCCTGGAAGGTGCAGGCCAGTGGCTTCGGAAGCTGGCGGCCAGTGCCGTCGAGGCGCCCCTGCCGTGAAGGAGGGCGATGCGGTAAGGGCGCGGCTGGCTTCGCTGGGCTCGGAGGGCGCCCCGCGCCCGGCGGCGCGAGCCAGGGGCCGAGCCTATGCCCCAGCCCCGTCGAGGCCTGCGCGGGTGGCCGACCCGCTGGGCGCAACCCTCGCCGAGAAGACGAGGCGGTCCGATCGGCGCGCGGCCCTGAAGCGGCAGAGAGCCTTCAAGAGAGTCCGTGCGATCAACGGCCATGTCCCAGCCCTGCAGGCGCTGAAGGGGGAGGGGATTTTCCTGGAGTGCGCGCGCCCGTCGGAGCTGGTCAGGGGGGGCTACTCGAGGCGGCTCGACAAGTTCTGAGACTTCGGACAAAACCACGGTCTCTCCTTGGCCAACCTGAAGCTCTGCGACGACGCGCTGTGCGATTGCGCCGACCTCCTGTTCCTCGACGGCGAGCAGGTGGACTCGGGGACCAAGCTGCTGGCGGCGCTAGATGGCCACGACATCCAGCCGTTCGGGGTGCCCAGCCTGCCCCGCATCCGCCGAGTCCTCAGGGTCTGGAGCCGAAAGGGGCCAGTCGGCAGCCGGGGCCGCTGCCGTTCAGGCTGCTGGCGGGCATCCTCGGCGTGCTCTGCGTCCGCGGCCAGCGCGAGGGAGTGCTGGCGCTCGCCCTGATATTCACTTGCTACGTCAGGCTGTCCGAGCTGATCTCGATCGTGGAGGGCGATATCCTGGGGCCCGCGTGGAACGCGGGCCAAGCGCTCGCGTGCTGGAGCCTGCTGCTCTGCCCGTTCGAGAGGGAGGGGCCGACCAAGGTCGGGCAGTTCGACGACGCGCTTCCGCTGGACAGCCGCGACTTCCCAGAGCTGGGGGTCTCCTTGCTGGCTTGCGGGGGGGGGGGCCGGGCGTCTGGGTGTTCAGCTTCAGCCCGAGCCAGATGCTGCGTCGCTTTCAGGCCGCCCGCCGCGCTGCGGGTCTGGGCGCGCTCGACCTGTAGATGCACCGGCTGCGATGCGGAGGGGCGTCGAGGGACTTCTTGATGTAGGCCAGGGAGAGTCTGGCGATCAAGCAGGGGGGCAGGTGGGCCAACGACCGCTCGTCGCTCCGCTACATGAAGGCCGGCCGAGTGCAACGCCTGCGCAGGGCGCCCATGCCCGAGGCCGACCGCTGGCGCCTGGGGGCAGAGGCCAACGTCGCTCGCATCCTTCGAGGCGAGTGGCAGCCGGCGCTGCAGCCGCCAGGAGCCTGCCGCAGCCTCTCGTCGGCAAGTAGAGGTCTTCTCAGGCAGCGGCCGGCTGGCGGCAGCGTTTGCCGAGCTAAGGGTCCCAGGCCTGACGTGGGAGATACAGCACGGCCCAACGGGCGATGTCCTGAATCAAGCCGTTTTGCAGTCTATCACGTCCCACATTGCCTCTGGTCGCTGCTTGTTTCTTCGGCTCGGGACCCCCTGCTACTCCTGCCCTCGAGCGAGGAAGCGCGACGGCAGGAGTCCTGGGCCCTTGAGGGATCCTGCCCATCTTGGCGGGTGCCCCGGTCTCAGTCCAACGGATAATGATAAAGTTGCTAATGGTAATCTTCTGCTGGCCGCCTCTATTTCGGTTCTCCAGTGTGCTGCTTTGCATTGGGCTCCGGCCGTTTTAGAGGGAAATGTCCTCGGTTGAGAACTTCCGGGCTCAGTGCGACCTGCAAGGGGCGAGGGCTTTGCTCTAAGTCTGGCAAAGCACACATCGAGCTTCGTGGTAAGGGTCCTACTGGAACGTTGTGGACCCTTCGTGCCAAGCCCTACCCGCGGGCCTTCACGCGGACTGCGGCTTCTCTCGTCGTCGCTCGCTCGAGGCGCAACGCAACGAAGCCTAGTGTGTTGTGTAGGCCTGCGTCCAGAACGCTCCACAGGCGCGGGGATAGGTGATATTCCGTGGTCCCTTTTCGCGGCCAGCGCCTCACGGGAGGCTGGTCCGATGGGCGTTGACGGGATGATTTCGGGTCCCCGTGCACGCTCTGCTGGACCAGCCGACCGAGGGGCGCTCACCGCGTGGCCACTGCAAGACATTTGCCTCTGGCGATCTTGGCTTTCACAGTCCTCGAGTACGAAGTTGGGCTCTCTCTGGCGCGGCATCGAATGGAATGAGTAAAGAGTGGACATATATATATATATATATATATATATTCATATGTATTTATCTATATATATGCATATATATATATATATATATATATATATACATTTTTTTTTTCTCTCTCTCTCTCTCGCTTTCTCTCTCTCTCTCTCTCTCATTTTTTATATAGAAATTATTTTGCTCTCTCTCTCTCTGTTTAGTTTTCTCTCTCCCTCTCTCTCTCTCTCTCTCTCTTTGTTTTTCTCTCATTCTCTCTTTCTCTCTCTTTCCCAGAATGTCTGTTTCTCTAGCCCTGTCTCTCTTTCTCTCTCTCTCTCGTTATGTTTCTTTGTACGCGCTCTCTCTGTCCTCCAACTTCCGAGCTCCTCCTGCCCATCCTCCGAGGCTGGCGATGATGGCGATCATCGGGATGTTCTTCCAGGACGGCCTCACCGGAAGCGCCTGGGGCGACTGGGCGCTGTACACGGACTCCCCGCTGCGCGCTTTCGAGAGCGAGCTGGGCGTGCAGGCATCGGGCGCTCGCGGATCGAGAGCTCTCCTCTCCGCTTCCCCAGGAAAGGAGGAGGAGGAGGAGGAGGAGGAGG